TGGGAGGAGGATGACTGCCTTTCTGTGGAAAATGAGGCTCCATTAGGAGACAGAGGGGAAAACAAGGATAATATTAAGAGCAATTTTAAAGGAGACTTGGATTTGGTTGCTAAGAATTGCCTATGAAAACACAAACAGTTATTGCTATATTTGATCAGCTCTTGGAAGCAAATAAATAAAAAGATTGAAGAATTAAGGTCTCCAATGGGAAACACTATCTCTCAATTAGATAAGGAAGCAAATAACAATGCCCAAGTTCCAAAATCTACTGCACACTAAAGAACTGACTGAGATTTCTTGGCTCCCCAGCGGATATGGTTGTAAAAGAATATTGTTATAAACTTTGGGCAGATTGTTCTTCCATCTATGTTATTCACAGATAACATAGATAAGAGAACATAGATGTTATTCATTGAAATCTTTCCAAGGAAATACTGTATTCGGCCAATATGGGTGTTATACCACTCAAATCCAGCCTCTGCTAAAGTCTGGGCAGAGAGCCAAGATAGTGAGGGAGGCTGACTCCAACCTTGAAAATTCTAAAACATTAATGGCCAAACAACAAATCCTCTATTAACAAGGATAGAACAAGATAGGGATAGTAAAAAAAGAGAACTCAGATCTACTTAGCAATATTACTGAGACTTATATACTGCTGCTAAGCGATTTTACAGCCCTCTCTAAGTGGTTTACAGAATCACCTCCAACAATCTGGAAGCTCATTTTACTGACCTTGGAAGTACGGAAAGCTGAGTCAACCTTGAGCCTGGTGACATTTGAACTGCTAAATTGCAGGCAGTCAACAATCAGCAGAAGTAGCCTGCAGTACTGCATTCTAATCACTGCACCATCAAGGTTTTTAACAGACTGTCACAATTTATAGATGACAAGGAATAATTAATCCACCAGTATGCCACCCCTTTGCCCAGGAAATCAAGAGCTGATTTTAAAGAAAATCAGAATAATTAGTTCAATATTGAAATTGGTAACTAATGCAACAGACAATCTGAACACTCTGCTCCCCTCTAGCTGCTCTTCTGTGGAATTGTTATCAGGCTCGGTTTTGGAATGCACTAATGTGTAGTCCCCAATGGAACTGCATCTACATGGAG